AGAATTTACCTGGAGTCCTTTCTAGAGGCTCTAATAAAGACAAAAGGTAACCAAAGTAAAAATTTCAAAAGCAATTTTCTTTAGGTTGCTTGAACTTTATCTAACTGTGACAAAGAAATGAAGAACGTTGTTACCTGAGCCAAGTTTAATGGTAAGTTTAGCTAAGGTATTTTATATCTATTAAATTTGCACAAAGAAGTAAGAACACAAGCAATTACCAGGGATCATTATACCTACTGTCACCGACTAACTGCCCCGAGGAACTCAAGGGAGGTTTCGGAAGCATTTAGCTGTTTCTCTAAATTATTTTTTTCTTTTTTGTCACATGACGAGATGCAAACGCCAACCACCCTGAACCAATCCAAACCCTACCACAAGAGCCCCACCTGCGCAGACGGGCCGAAAAGTGTCCAAGAGATAACCTCTGCCTCCTTTTTAACGCTAAGACCTCCTCCCTGGAAGGAGCTTAGGCCTCATTACCTAACCTGCAGGGTATGTGGAAGCATGTTTTCCAATTGAGCCTGCGCAGGCGAATACCTGCTTCTCCCTTTGAATATTCATTCCCCATCCGAAATAAAAGGCCTCTGCTGTCTCGTGCTCAGGGAGAACCACGACTTTGGAAATGATTCCTCATGGCATCCTATTTGCTGCAAATAAACCCTACTTCATGCGACAACTACCTCTGGTGGAGTCTTATTTTAACTCACCTGGAAGCAAACCCACTTTGGTTCAGTAACACTACCTTGAAAGATTATTGAGGACTAGAATGTATAAATTGATCACTACTATTTTTGTAACAAATGCTAAATTTACCAGTATGTTTCTTTAAAACTCTAAGTCAAGGGCAGGAATTCTTTTCTGTAAAGGACCAGAAAGTAAGTATTTTAGGCTTTGCAAACCAAGAGGGAAGGTCGAGGATACACATAAGGTTCTTATATAACGCGAGAAAACTAATTTGTGCAAATTTTTATTGATGGAATGCAAAATATAACAATTGTGTACAATTTTCTGGTAACACAGGTCTACTAATAAGAATGGAATTATTTTGGGGGGATAACATTTCACATAATTGGGGTTCAAAGTTAGTGTTTCCTATCATCTAATCAATTGCAAATGTTCATATGTAAAACCATTCTCAGTTCCCGGGGCCTTACAAAATAGTCTGGCCAACCATGTTTACTTTGTCATGCCTTGCTCTAAGAACTAAAGTTACTTGAGAAACAAAACACTAACACTACAAACCTCTTAATTTCCAAGAGCCAGCTTCTAAGCAACTGCAATTCATTTGAATATTAAAATCTTTAAACTTCTTAACATAAAGTGCCTAATCTTTAACAATCATGTCTACAAAACAACTAATTCTTTCTTGACTCTTAGCTAGAGGCTAAGTATAAACAAAAGATACTAAATGCAGAAAAATTTAATCCTCTTAGTAAGAAATCTTAGAATCTAAGAATCCAAATTACACAGGAGTAAAAACAGATAAAAACATATTTTTATCAGAAAATAACCAGGATTAAATAATTGAGGGTGGTAAATGAAATAATAAGGTAAAGAAGAGGAAAGTTACGGTTTCTCTATCAAATGTGTGGGGGGGGGATACCAATCCACTAAAATTTAATGAAAATGTATTTTGAACACTTTTGGCAATATTAATATGAAGGAAATACTTAGGTTTTAAATTTACTCAATATTACTCTGAAAAATGTCCCCATCTGATTCTAACCATTAATTTAAAACTATATAACTTCATGCTTTCACAAAAGTTAAGAATACCCCATTATCTTTTTCAAGTCAGCGCTATTCAATTAATATCTCAGCCTCACCAACGAGGTCCCTAGACTAGAAAAGCATTACCTTTGTGGTAGAAAGATGTGTCTGACTCCTACAATTGCCAAATTGAAGAAAATATTCATTCCTTGCTGCTAATAATAAATGAAGATATTAAACCTCGGTGTTAAATGAGATATTAAATATTTAAAATATTTTCTTATGAATGATAAAATTAACAACTTTGGTTTTCTAGTAACTGCATTTTATTAAATTATGGAAAATCTAAAAACTAAACAAGATATATAAACCTAAAAGGGGGTAGGGGAAAGATATACTGCTAAATATAAACATTAAAATTTCAAAATACCTTTTTTACACCTTTTTCAAGAGTGTCCAAAGAGCTTTACAAGAGTAGTAATTTTTTAGCATAACATTTCTGGGAGAAGGGTAAAGACGCACTGATTTTTATACCTAAAAAGTTTGGGTTTCTGATCTTAGCACTTTAAGCTATATTACAAAAGCATTCTGACTTGACAAGTCTCCTTTGGCCTAGCAACTGATGTAACACAGCAATGAAAGTTCTTAAAATTTTCAAAAATGAGGAAATAAGCCAAAGAGGTGTGAGCAACTTATAGTATGAAAGTGAATGCTGGCAACAACTTCTCCTTACTTGTTTACTTTTGAGGGTTATTACCCTCAACACACTTTAAACTAAACTAGTGGCCAAATAAGGGTGGAAAGCAAGTGGAAACGTGTGTTTTGGGAAAGCTCCCTAGGTTTTTCTAATAACTCCAGAACCAATTTCCTACATATTTAACAAGCAAATAAAAAAAACATTTTTTGATTCTATTTGCACAACTATATGTCAGTGCTGGTACAAAATTTCCAATCATTCCTAATTTTCATTTCCTCTGGTTCCAAAGGTGATACAATTTGAATACGCAGCATTTTTTTTTAATCACATTAAAGTTGGAAGACAAAGAATTTTACAGTTGAACAGCATCTTAGAGATCAAGTCTGAATCTTGGTTCTTCAAGTAAAAAAACTGAGACTTAAAAATATGCCTAAGACCACAAACTAGAGAGTAACAGAGCTGGGACTTCAACTCCAATGCCCGGACTCTTTTAACTTCAGTGCCCTTTTAACCAAACCAAACTGCAGCAGACTCTTCAGGCAACTTGAAACCAGAATTACACACATGAGAATTATTTAAGAAATTTCAACTTCACCAACCACTTAGTGTGAAAACCTTATTTTATTTCAGAACCTCAAAATTTTAAAGAATTTATTTTCACAGTATAGTAAATATTAAGAGACATTGATTCTGATAATTTAGTAAATACCCATCATATAAAATTCCACATTACTGCTATGTTCATCTAAATACCCATCACATAAAATTCCAAATTACTGCTATGTTCATCCCAATATCTTAAGAAGTTTAAATAAGATGATCAAATTTCTAAGTTAAATTATTTTCTTCTACTTCACTAACATTGCAGTAAGGCCCCTAGTGTAACGTCAAAGGTTAAGGCTGGGAATCAAGACATCTACCTTTGGGTTTCTGTCTCAATTTTAAAATACTCTTCTAACTTACTAGCAACTATCAATCCCTCTGACCCTATTTCCCTACTCCTGATTACTAATCATCATAACAGTAACTATTCATTGTACAAACTTAGTGCCAGGAATCTAATCTACTATATTGTTTCTAATTCTCACATCTTACAAGATAGGCATTCTTTATCTATTTTACAGGTGTGGAAACAGGCTCAGAGAGACTAAGTTTTCCAAGACACTGAGCTAGCTAGTGGCTGAGCTGGAATTGAAACCCACCTCTGCCTGACTCCAGCCTACAGCCCATGGTCCTTGCATTACCCGACTTTGCTCATATCCTGATATGTGTGATCCTAGTGTGGCTGGGAGAACAAGAAGTACTACATATTAAGTACCATTAGGGAGATAAAAATGATAAAAATACATGCTGAAAAAACATACTGTGACACTTTCTCTAGTTATTAAACTGAAAATAAATTTTTAGTAAAAGGTTTAAAAACTATAGATACTATTCTTATTACTGTTATTAATAACAAAATGAGCACTGTACAATTAAAAAATATATTGATTTTGCTTTCAGAGGTAACTGTAAATTAAACTGAAAAACAGTTATCTTTATGCCTATTCCTATAGCTGAAATAAAACTACTCTGAAAGCCCCATCAAAGCACATGCATAAATTTAAAAGTGTTTAATAAAATTAGAGGAAAAAAAATGACATAACCTGCTACAGAACAGAAGAAATCAAGAGAACTTAGTGCCAGTTCCTGCTCTTTCAAGCAGACAAAAATACCCTCAGATATTCAAGAAACGAGGATGAGCAGACGTTTAATGCTGGACATCCATACAAAGTATTTACATTCTAGGATCAACCTATCTTCACCACTGCAGATGGATCACGATACTATGATTGCTGCTCTGACAGAAATCAAGATGCTTCCCCGTTTCTGTGATGTCTTTGATCAGTAAAATGCTCAGTAGACAGTGCGACTTATCCTGTGTGTGGTCACTGACTCTTTTCTTTAAAGTTTAAAATCTAGGGGAAAAAAAAGACTAGGGTGAATGTAGGGCATGGTTATTAATAAACACAGCCTAAAACCAAAATCGGAATTGAAGTTTCCGGTTACCTTTACCTCTATCATGCCCTACAACTAAAATCACCTATTAGCTCAAAACGAAAGGTACTGTGCACATTTCGGTCACATGTCCCAAGATGTCACCTGGTAAGATACGACAACTTCACAAAAAATCATCAATACCTCTATGACTCCGGATCCTTTTCCCAACAATGGCCAAGGTGTTCATCTCTGCGTCCTGCGATAATCCCCACCCAGGTAACGGCACTCTAACCACGTCAACTGTCCTGGAGCTACATCTAGATAGAACTTCCACTTTCCCACTTCTCTTTTGTTTAACCTCCTTGGAGGCGAAAATCCCCCACCGAACCACACAGAGCGCCCACTCAAGGGGCCTTCTCCGCGCCCCGCCCTCCGCGTTTACGTTCATTCCGTCTCCAACCGTGTGAACCGCGAGCACGAGGAAGCGCGGACAGACCCCAAGCTCAGGAAACGCGCAGGCAGAGGACGCAGCGACGGCGGAGGGGAGCCAAGACGCGGGGAGGGCCCGCGCCCACCCGGGGCGAGGCAGCCGCCCCGCCGGCCCTCCGCTCACCTCGATCTCGCGGATGTTGTTGGAGGTGACGAAGATGCCGATGCCGATGGGGATGAAGATGAGGCCGATGATGAAGAAGGTGGGCAGCACCGTGCCGGCCGTGAGGATGGGCTGCCAGGCCGGCAGCCGCTGCTGTTTGAAGGCCGTGTTGTCCGGTCTCCGGGTCTTGGCGGCGCCCCCAGGGGCGCACGGGGGCCCACCGTCCACTTCATCCTTGGCGTTATAGTTCATCGCCATCGACCCCCGGGGCGCGGCTCCGCGACACGCAGGTGGACGGCCCAGGGAACCCGCCAGCTGACCCTGACAGGGGACGCGCAGGCGCCGCCGCCGCCGCCAAGGCGGAAGAGGCGGGGCACCCTTCCGCCGACGGCCGCGGACCGGAAGTGGGGGTGGGCGGGGGCCTGCGGGAGGGAGGAGACGGAGGGACTAGGGGAGGGGAAGAGGGAGAATGGAGGGGAAGGGAAAAGGCCGACGGTGGAGGGAGAGGGAAGAGGCGGACGCAGCCTGACCATCTGCCCTGTGACGACAAAGTGAGAGCCTCAGCCCCCGAGCGTGAGGTACGTTAGCGCATGCGCCGCCCCGCTCGCCGGGCTTCCGTGGGCGCCCACCTGCGCGCTGCTCTGGTTGTCATGGCAGTGGACCTTCTAGCTCGCACGTCTGAACGCACGCCCCTGGCCGCCGTTGTCGCCGTGTCCCTAGAGTCGCTCTTGAGAGGCTTCGGCGCCAGACAGGTTTTTGTGTTACCTGGAAGACTTCTCCGAAGGCACTGGCGTGTTTAAAAGACCACACCGGGGAGCTTGAGCCTGGTGGGATTGGCACTGTTTGCCGGGGTTGTAAAACCGCGACTTTTCTCTGATTAAAATAAGTAAACTTCCACTCACAGTGCAGATATAAACCTTAAGTGAGTTGTGTGATGGATGACCCTTTTGTCCTAAAGTATAAATCATGTGACTTGGCTAATCCTATTATCTTGCTTCTGTTGACCTGAAACAAATAGCCAGTTATTACTCCAGCAAAAATGAGTTTGTTCAAGATCAGCAAAGAATTGCAAGTGCGCTCTCTGCAACCATGGTAAGCTGCGGGTGAGTCCCCCAGCAGCAAGGCAGGAGACCTCTTTTAGAGAGAAGAAGAGGACGTTGGGAGGACTACTGTGAACAATCCACTGGAGGAACTGAGGGTTTGAGGTGTAGTGGCTTTTCACGTGACTGGGTTGGGACAGTCTCTGATTGGCTGAGCTTTATGCTGATCAAGAAGAGGAAGTCTTCCTTCTTCCTGTTGGACTCTGCACTTGACATAAGGTGTGAGAGCTCCCCATTTGGCCTCCCAATTCCAATTTAATGAGGTTTTTTGTTAATTTGACATTGGCCTCCCCCCATTTTTTTTTAAGTTGGGAGAAGATGCTTCTTTTTTTGTTTGTTCAGGAAGATTGGCCCTGAGCTAACATCTGTTGCCAATCTTCCTCTTTTTGTTTTTTCTCCCCAAAGCCCCAGCAGATAGCCACACATCATAGTTGTGCATCCTTCTAGTTGCTCTATGTGGGATGCCACCTCAGCATGGCCTGATGAGCAGTGAGTAGGTCCATGCCCAGGATCTGAACCTACCAACTCTGGGCTGCCAAAGCAGAACGCAAGGATTTGACTGGTGTGCCACCAGGCTGGCCCTGTCATTTTCTGCTTTTGATCACGGTCTTTCTCTAAAAGCTTCGTTGATCAAGAGTCAGGTTTTTCTAGATTCAGCAGCTTTTGGTCATTCCACGCCAGGAAGGGCTTTTCCTCTGTGTCCTGTCGGAGGGAAAGTGCACAGGTTGGAAATCTATTGAGGCCACAATTGAGTAACAAGGATAGGAGAACTCCCAGGCATTTTTCTTTTCTAAAGTCCATATGTTTTCATGATCATAGGCACTGGAGATCATCTGCAGCATTATGTCATCATCAAAGGTTTGGCAGACACACTTCCAATAGGCCTGGTCTGGACATCTTGGGAAAGCTGCTTTATCACATGTCATCTGCCTCAATACCAGGAACTCTACTTTCAGGTCACCAGATGATGTGTAGGACCAGTCAGGGTTTGGTGCTTTCTTTAGATGTGTCACGTGAATCCAAGAGTCTATTCCCTGGAGTTTTGTGGCACAAGGGTTGGTTAACAGTACCTGATAGGGGCCTTTCCAATGAGGTTGAAGAGAGTCCTTCTGGAGGTGTCTTTTCCAATAGACACAATCTCCAGGTTGCAAGGTATGATGCTTAAGGGCTTTGTCTCCCTGAAGCAAACTGTGAAAAGATTACCAAAACATGGTTAATTTTAATAAAAACAATTAGGCCTTTGCAATATTGGAGTGTATGTCCTTTTATCAGCTGTGGGTCAAAAGACGCAGAAGCCAAGTGCACTTGGCGTCCCATGACTATCTCAAAGGGTGAGAGTTTGTGAGTTCTAAAGGGGGTGGATCTGAGATTTAGAAGGACCAATGGCAGTGCTTTTGGCCCAGGCATTTGAAGGTCTCTACAAGTTTTGCCAATTAAGTCTTAATAATGCCATTAGTGTGGTCAGCTAAACCAGAAGATTGAGGGTGGTAGGCACAACGTGAGTGTTGTAAAACTGGCCAAACAGCGTAGACTTGTCGAAGTACCTGAACAGTAAAATGGGTTGCTCAGTCAGTATGAAGCTTGAGCGGAGTCCCTCAGGTAGGGATAATCCTTTCCAAAAGGACGTTAGCCACAGAAGAGACAGTAGCCTGTCTGCAAGGACAGTGAGAAGACATACAAACCACAACTAAAACATTTATATCCATGAGATGGGAGAAGCTGTATGAAATCGATTTGCCAAAACTTGAATGGTCCATTAGGCAATTTAAAATGTCCAGGAACAGTATGAACAGGCTTCCATGGGGTGTATTTTGGACAAGTGGGAGAAGTGAGGTAGGCATTTTTTGCAACCTTGTTAATATTTCCCCACCAATACTGATTCATGAATGCTATCATTTTGTCAGTAGACCAATGGCTTGATGCATGTACAGTGACAGTGGTTAGGAGTGGGAATTTTAGTCTCCAACAGGGCTGGATTGTTATGTGATCTGAACCAGAGCTTTCTCTTTTTATCAAGCCAACAATTGTTGAATTTCTGATCTTGTTTTTCCTTTTCTGAGGCCAGTTGTTGGGCTTCTCTTGTCAGGTTTCTAAGTTATCATTAGGGGAAATATCCCTTTGGACCATGACAGAGGCTTGGCTGTTGTTGGTTCCTTTAAGGGCTGCATTCTTACAGAAATATCAGCAAGGTGATTTCCTTTAGCTTCCAGAGAGTCAAGTTGAGAATGCCCCAGGATCTTAATAATAGCTAAAGCAGCAGGTAAAAGTATAGCATCCAATAATTTCTGATTGCTTCCACAACATTCCAAAATCATGAGCTACTCTGAAAGCAGATCTACCACCAGTATAAATATTGGCACTTTTGCCATTGGCTAAAGTACAGGCCCATGTAACAGTGTATAATTCAGGCTGTTGGGCCAAAATAGCCATAGGTAAAGGTACTGCCTTAGCAATATCAAAAGGAGTTGCTATCCAGCACAATATTTGCCATTGTCAACTTTTAAATAAGAACCATCAGTAAACCATGAGAAGTCGGTGGAGTTTCCTGCAAAGGAAGTTTGCAGGAAAACTTCCAAAGGAGTTTGCTGCAGATCATCACAAGGAGTCAGGATGTGATCTGTCAGTGTTAAGCAGTCAACAGCAACTTCGTCAGTAATGGAGGGGAGAAGAGTAGCAGGGTTAAGGCTTTAACAACATAAAAGAGTTATGTGGGGAGCAGCTAACAAAAGGATTTCATAGGTGAGGCAGCTGGCTGAAATATGTTGACTGTGATGAAAATTCAGGAGGGCTTTTACTGCCTGAGGAAGAAAAATGGTTAAAGGGGATCCCACAACCATTTTCTCAGTGGCCTTAACCCAGAGGACAGTGGCAATAATGGCCCTAAGGCAAGGGGGTATCCCCATGCCACAGGGCCTGATAATACCCAGTGTCTGAATGACTATATTAAATTCCTCATCAACTCTGTGAGGATCTTCAGTTACTTTGGGGAAATCTTTGACTATGGCTCAAAGTTCAGCTTTAGTCCAGAGAATATAAGAAGTTAAGGGTTTAGCCTTTGGATCCTCAGAAGGCTTAATTTTAAAAGGACATGTTCTGATAGGTTCAGAGGAAGAGGAGTGGGGAGAGGTTCAGGGAAAAGGGGGAAGTTCAGCAAGAGTGTTAGTAGGGGGGACAGAGTAGAGATGAGGTTTAGACCCTACAGAAGGGAGGGAGGAAGATGGCACCAGAGGTGGAGCCTGAGCATGAGGAGCCAGGAGAAAGGAACATGAGGCTTCAGAAGCCATTTTATCTTTCTTTAATTCTTTGCTTCAGTTAATCTTAAAATTTTATTTTACAAAAGAGCAATTTTAGACTCCTATAACATTTGGAAGCCTCAAAATACCAATTGAAATAGGTGTTCCATTTAGTTTTGGAAATTACAGAGCTATGATTGTCCAATTTGGTTTTAAGAAAAGTAACTTTAAGGAGTTCAGAAGTTCCCCATAATGGCCATTGATATTCTAGATTACTTTTGGTTAAGTCCGTCCATTTAGTTAGAAATGCACATGAGAAATGACTGTGATTTTTAAACTTAAAATCGGCCAGGGCCTCTGGGGCGGTGGGGGGAGGCACCCTCAAAATATTTAGATAACTGAAATTCTATTTCTTAGAGTTTTTCCTCTAGAGGAAAGGAATAATCCTCAAACAGCCTAAACGTCTTAAATACCTTGCAACTTAGACAGCTTGAACAGCTTAAACAGCCTGCAGGCTTAATACCAGCCAGTCCCAATAGAACAGTCCAATTTCATTAAGATGAACCAAAGGTCAAATCAACTCAGTTCCGAGGAACAATGTAGTTCCAAAGAACACTCCAATCCCCCAGGGAGTCAAAGGTTGATCAACACAGTGCCAAGGGACAGTCTGCTCCCAAGGGTGTCAGGCCAAAGGCTGATAACACAGTTCCAATGAATAGTCCCAAAGTCAGATGGAAGGCTAACCAGCTCAAAGTATGGGAACAGTGCAGTTCCAAAAGGAATTGGATCAAAGGCTAGCACAGTTCAAAGGAACAGCCTGATTCACAGAGTCAGGCCAAAGTGCCACCTGAGTAGTCGCAGACAAAGCCTTAACCAGAAAAGGACGAAGCCTTAAAATAGATCTCGAATAAAGCCTGGAGGGCTTCAAATGCAAAGACAGTGGAGGCTCAGATCCAGGAGAAAGATTTGCCCTCAAACTCCAGAGTTGGTGAAAAAAGCAGTGTGCTCAGTGGGCTCTGTTGTGGGTACCACTCCTGTTTGCTCA